GCACAAATTGTATAAATTGAGAATACATGGTTTTGGCACGCATGATGCTTGTTTGGCAAGTTGGTGAATGCTTCTTGTTACGGTCCTGTTGGGGCGAGTTCCTTGGCATTCCCTTCGTACTGTTGTCCGTTGAAGTCAAGCTGGTAAGTATCTTCGAGAGTTTCTCCACATTTGAGGCTTGAATCGTCTTCTCGCTCCAATGTTGCTCTCTCGGCTACTATGATTGTACTTGATGTATCTCACGGCTCCGGTATAGCATTGGTGAAATTTTTATTGTTCTGATCTCCATTTCCTGTCAAGTAAACGCTCATACCTTGTTTTGTGGTGGTACGGTCATCTTTGACGCTCATCTTGGCAAAGCCCTCGGCGATGTCTATCTCGGTTGCAGCAAGGGTCGGTTGGGGGTTAAGTATGTTCTCTACATTCATGTTGGTCAAAAGTGACTGTATGGCCTCATTGAATCCTTCTCTTAATCTCCTTGTCTTGGAGCGTGTCATGGGTGAGCCGTGTACTTGTGGTATGGTGGACTGTCCCGGCTCCTTTCATCCTGGTACGAACAGCTGGTCATTGTTTCCGTCATCCTCTCGTCCTGGTACGAACGGCTGGTCGATGTACTCGTCACCCGGTACGTTCAGCGGTTCGATGTCCTCATCAGGCAGGGACTTCCTTCCTCACGGCGGGCCCACATCTCTCGGACGCGGAAAGGGGAAGGGGGGGGGGAGCTCCGAATGAAATCCTTCTTGGGAACGTTCGTCCCCTCACTTCTGTCTCCTCGTATGGAACAGGGAAGGCGCGCCAGGACGAACGAGACTGTGGATGCCCCAGGAAGAATGCGAAGGCGTCGGGGAATCGTCTCCCCAGAAGGACCTTCGTCGGCGGGGCACTTCTGGACGATATGCTTCAGATGTAGCAGGGATCCGCCAGATTCGTCCAAGGAACCGCCTTCCATGATGGCCAAGCTCGACAAAAACTCCGGAGAACATGTCAGGATATCAAAGGGCTGCCGAATAAATACCCTGTCAGATAGAAGAAAACTCCCAAGCGACTCAGAGCAGAAATGCAGTACCTTCTTTAGTGTAAGTACCGCCCGCCCGCACGCAGAGGGAACTCCTAGAAAGGCAGCACTCGGACAGCAGGAACGACTGGCTCCGGAGCTCGAGCGGAATCTCAGTAAGATGTTTAACCAACCCCGCGACGTCTCTTGATGCCGTGGGATCTGCAATATGTTCGGGTGGTTAGACAATCAGGAAACACGCCATGAAGAAATGAGGGAATCACCTACCAGGATCCCTCTACGTATTGCTCATAGAGCCTGCGGGATCCACCCGCCAAAAGGAAAAGTTCTGGGTCTACTGATGGTCGTTGCCCATACTGGTGAAGAGAATCATCGGCTTCCCGACATTCCGAACGAGGGTATATCACAGAGGATCATGCGCGACCCTCTTCCTGAGGTGAAAAAGGCCCCGATGTCCTTAGCAGCGATGGGAATCCCCAATAGGTCACTCAAGACCTGGAACGAGCTCAAGACCCCCCACGCGGCAGGGACCAGTCGACTAGGGCAAATCTTCATCAACCGACAGAAGTCAGTCAGGGCTTTCGGAAGTAGGCACCGAAGTCTGTTTGACTAATAGTTAGCATAGAGGGCGATGCAGCTCGGGGGCGCTTGGGAAACAGAAGCCAAGAAATCGAAGAACACCGGAAGCATGCTGCGCATGCGGACCGAATCTAAGAAAGTGTGAAAATTCGCTGAGTCTCCGACGGAGGTGCCGCCCCCCGAAGCATCGAGAGAATCCCTATCGCCGGGACTCACAGAAGACAGAGGAGCCGGGTCATCATAGACACATGTGAGAGGCAACAGATCCTCTTGGAGATCGGTAGCAGAATCAAAACGACGGGCACCGGATCCAGAGGAACCAGCACCTCTCCGCTTAGGCATCCGAGACATAGGCTAAAGAAGGGATCGGAAGAAGATAAAGAGGAGAAGCTTACCAGTAAAAAAAAGAGAAAAAGTCACAGGATCGATGCGGCGAGCGAAAGAACTTGTGACAGCGAAGGAGTGGCGGCAAGGGAAAATTCACAGGAGCGCACGCGTAACCCTAAGTGAAAAGATGTTTGGGGGCAAAACGACCAGCATGGCAAAAGTATAAAGAAAAAATAATCTGGTGCCGTCGAAGAATATCTGTGAAGATACAAGGACAAATGTGCAAAGTTTATCCACCCTCCCAAGGGATGGACCATTCATGTGATGACGCGTCAACCGCGCACTGGGACACGCTTGAGTACGCTTGCTATGGTAGGGCCCGGATCCCGAAAATCCTGGATTCTAGTCGAGAAGCCCATGAACTTCCTCTGGGGATAACGGTCTTTCCGAGACCGGTCTCCAAAGGCACGCTCTTCGGAGATAACGGTCTTTCCGAGACCGGCCTCCAGGGGCACGCCCTCCAGGGAACTCCCTCCGGAGATAGCGGTCTTTCTGAGACCGGCCTCCAGGAACACGCCCTCCGGGGAACTCTCCCTGTGGATAACGGACTTTCCGAGACGGGTATCCAGGGGCACGCCCTCCAGAGAACTCCCTCCGGGGATAACGGTCTTTCCGAGACCAGCCTCCAGGAGCACGTCCTTCGGGGATAACGGTCTTTCCAAGACTGGTCTTCAGGGGCATGCTCTGTGGGGATAGCGATCTCCCCACCCGCGGCTGGAAAGCCGGCGGAATAAAAGCATAATGACCCCGGATACTTCGATCCATGTGCAGGACAGACTTGCGAATCTCTCCAAGCGAGCTCCACAAGTCGGGAGCAACTGTTCGGGCGCAAAATTCGCATACGGCCCACGAGGGTCCAACGCGTGGGTAGTGGATGCTGCAAGAACCTAAGGCGCATTAAATGCACCGCACCTACCAAAGATGGCCGTAATGATGGGGGTTAGGATAGGGCGGAGCAGGTCGTTAATCCGTTCCTCTGGCCATAGGCAAGGAAGAGTCCGGGAATGGGTATAATGATGAAAAAGGACAGAAGTTAGTACTCGACCCGAGGAGCCTGGAAACCCGAACCCGAGAGCGACCCAGAATCAGGTATCTCCTATAAAAACCCACTCCTCTCAACAGCCGAGAGGAGGAGACATCTAGAACGATCATTTCATCTTCTAGCTTCATTCTCGATATCTTATCGCAATCCCAAAAGCTTTGTCGGGATCCCTACGAACCGATGTAGCGCCCCATTCCCTGTCCTCTGATAAAGATTAATTCGTTCCGCCCAGTCCCATGTCACTTTTTCTGACTAGAGCGTCGGAGCGTAATTGGAAAGGCAACCCCTTTTTATTACCCATGTCCTCTGTTTTCCTTCCCGTGATATTGCAGGCTAGCCCATCCCTCCAGATTTCAAATTTCCCTCACAATATCCGACGACCAATCAAATCCTTCCACATGACATCCCGAAATTTGCTCTCAAACAGTATCAAATAATTCTGTTGGGGGTTAATAAAATCTTCGGATATAGATGTGGGTTTTGCTCAGTAAAATTATGGATATAGTTAGAAAGAGAAAGACGTTGCTTCCAAGCAAAGAAAGTTTTCAGATAAAATAAAATAAACAAGAAATTTTAAGTGATGAATAGTATATCATTTATCATGTTACGTATATGTTCTTCGTTATTGATACCCTTTAAACATTTATCAAACTTTAACAACATAGAAAAAATAGTTTTATTAGAGTAAAAAATAGTTATTTTCTTTGTTTTTTTGTTATATCATTTTTAAAAAAAATAATATAACAAAAAATAAAGAATATTTTATCATGTTATGTATATGTTCTTCGTTATTGATAATAAATACAAGCTTATATAATTAAAAGTATTACAAAAAATCAACAATAGCAACTTATATAGATTTCTGTTTTTTCAGTTATCATATATAAATATATATATTGTTGGAGCTGGATTTAGCACCCTAAATCCGGCCCACTCAAGTCCAACAGACATACCCAAATTAAGCCAAAATTGATTGGGCTTTGACCCTACAGCCCAGGTCCATTCACTCTCGATGATCCGATCTCGAACAGCAGAACGTTCCTTTCGACGAGGTCGAGCTCCAGCTCGACCGAATTCTGAGAAATAAGGAAGAATCCGAGTTAAGTCAGAGCATATTCTCGCCAGTTCAAACGAGTCCGAAAATAGCGGAGGAAGTTGCTGCACGTGGCTAGATTTCCGGCTGAAGCTGCTGCACGTAGCCGAGATACGCGCTGGAGTTCGATGCTCGACAAGGCAAGCTATATAAAGAAAGGGAACAGCTTAGTTTAAGGGACTCTTCTTCGACTATTTCCTGGCTTGATCTTTTCACCATTTTTCTACCTGAAAACTCTGTAACTGCTCTTAGAGCTTTTTTCAGTTCATTTTCTTCACTGAATTCTTTGTAACCATTTCATTCAACCGATTAATATCAAAGTCGTTATTTCAGTTAGTGCTAGCTTATACTGTCAATCTGTTCGAGAAAATCTAGCTCTTAATCCTAAGTTCATTCCTTACAAAAACACATAAATTTCTGAGTGTGGATTTCTGTATCCACATATATATATTTTGTATTTTCTCTTTTGTTATTTACAGCATAACAGAAAACGAAAAAAAAAATCAAGGCAAATACTCTCAAAATTAGTTCTCTTTAATTATCTCTTGGCAAAGAACTTTCAAAAATCTTGCTTGTTTAGCGAAACGGTATTTAAAAAATTTGTAACCTTCCAAATTTAGTCAAAAAAAAGAAAAAAAAAATTGTAACCAAAACCTCTTTCAAAACATACAACCAAGTCAATGCTTTACTCTTTTTTTTCTCTGAAAACTCCCAGAACGTCATAGTTTGTTTGGTTAAATTACTCAATAAAAGATTCAGAATAAATTAAACGATAAATACATAATTCACATGGCATGCAGGTGTTCAGATTATAAATAAGAAGATGGAGTGAGAATTTTGAAGGTAGAGAAAGTGAATTAAAGAGAAAGAAAAGAGAGCAACAAATGGTGATAAAGAGAATAGAGCTTTGCATAGAGATGGTGAAGATAGCGACGGAGTTAGTGGTTGTGGTGGCTGATGCCGTGAGAGTCTTCTTGATAAACACTTCTCCGCCGCCTCCTGCTCTCCTCCGCCATGGCCCCTACTATTACTCCGCCTCCTCCTCTCAACATTCCGCTTACATCATCGGCTATGTCTGAGATTGTAATTATTTGTAATATTTCTGTAAATTACTTGGTTCTAAAAACAAATTCATGTAAACTACTTTTTTCAACAACATGCAATTTCTGAATTTGGTTGGTGTTACATCAACCGCCGGCTAGAACACAAACTACTAAGACTAAATGTTTGTTATCTTGTAAAGTATTCCTCTCATTATTATAAATCTTGTAAAAACAAAAAATTGTCAAATAAATCCTGTAATTTTTTTGCTTTTTAATAAATCACATTTCACCTCAGTTTCTCAAAACCAAAAAAGAAATACATGGGTTTTGCTTTCTCTTGTTAATTGGCTTTCCTCTTTGATTTATTTTTCTGGACTCTAATGTTCGATTTCGATGTGGAACTCAAAATTAAGGTAACTAGAATGAAACCAGGATTACGATTTTAGAATTTGAACACTTCATTTATATAAATTAAGAAGAAAAAAAAGAGTTGAAAGAATGATGGAACAGATCTAAAATCAAAAGTGGGAATAATGGAAAAGGGGTTGACGAGTAAGACGTGAGGAAACTGGTCCCGTCTCGAACAAGAAATGTCTAGGTTCAACCAAATGTCTTAAATCTTAATTAATGCACCGCGTCACTTGTCAAATGTTTATTAATCACGGGATAAGGGTTGCCCTTTTTTATAGTTGAACCGACTAAAAAATGATGATAATTTGTTTAACTATAAACCATTATCCCATTTATCACATTTATGAAACTAATAGATAATATTTAGTTTCCATTATGAAGAAATGAAACAAGTTAAAAGGAAAAAAAAATTAATTATACCAATCTCTAAAAAATAGAGTAAGACCTAAACCCGTAGAAGAAAACAAAATCCTCAATTCTTCAATAAAATCTAGTAAAATCAGTGAACCGGGTCGAATCGACCTAAACCTAATTTTGTTGTTCTTAATAGATTGAGATTTACACGGTTACCATATTTTCAAATAGCAAATCTTGTTTCTTTTCTCATCATATGTTTTTTAAATGCAACTTTCGCATCATCTGTTTGGTCACTCTTTTCGCACCAAAAAAAAAAAAATGTTTGGTCACTCTTAAAAGAAATTGTTTTTTTTTGAACAAAAATAATAGAAATAGTTGGAATCTAGAATAGAAACTTACTCGAATTTAGCATTGCTTTAAAAATGACTAATTTGTGCATATGATGCTAAAATAGTTTGAGCATTTTTTGTTAAAAGGTTCAACGGATCAGATACAAACATCTGTTAGGTTAAACGATATTTAAATTATGGAGTGGTTTATAGAAAAATATACTTTTTTGAATTTGTTTACACAAAAAGTCACTTTCTACAACTAAGATATTTTGGCTTTATTTTAATCACTTTTTCTTTTGATAAAAAAAACTATTATGTCCCTTTTATCTATCTCTCTCATTTTTTAACATTAATTGAACAATCCGAAAAATATAATTATCTTTTATATTTCTTATATTTACTAATTCTCTTAAATTTTTGATACCATTTAGTGTAAAATTCATGGATATACTACCATAGATTAAGTTGTAAAATTCGTAGATACACTATAGTGGACAACGTATGAAAAACAAGTTATAGACATCGTGCTAAAATAGATAAGATACCAGACATATATGATCATAAATAAAGTCTAATGTATGTTAAATTGTGTTGAACACATTGAATAAAAAAATATCATGGATGTATGATCGTGGAATGATCAGATAGTAGTTTGTAATGAACAGTGTATCAAATACTTTGAATGAAAAATATTATAGACAATTTTTAAATTTGTTATATACAGTAATGTGAAAAAATTATAACGGTAATATGAAAATGTCAATGTGGATATCATATACAATCAGTTAGTAGTATTGTATGTCAAGTATTTATAGATTATATTTGTAAATAAATGAATCGTGGACAAAGTAAAATAGATAGAGTTGCATAGATAGAGGGACAACATTTTATACAGTTTTGTCCACAGAAACTTGTACATCATACATCAAATGTAATATATCATCTTGCTTAGCTAGATTGCTTATCGAAGATGTTAAGTGGATAAATGTATAAGACCACAAATTTTGTTACAATTTTATGAAATTAAAACATATCCACATATACATGATTAGTTATGCGAAATCTTAATTTTTATCATATTAATTATTGTATTCATAATATACTATTCACACTAATTTATATATGTTACTTTGTTCATAAATATTTTACGTATGATATTTTTAATTGAACACATCCACAATTTAATGTTCATGATGTCGAGTTCACAAAACCATAAATATTAACAATGAACATAATTTCTAATGAATTCATTTCTCTCCTAATATTGATTTTTCAATATGAGATATTTTAAATTTAAAATATAAAGTACAAAAGAAGAAAAAAATAAGGATATATAAGAGAAGAAAAAGAGAGATAAAATGAATTATTAGTAGAAAAGTGATTTTATCTTTACTCTTAGTAAAAGTGTTTTAGTTGCAACAAGTATCTTATTATGTGTAATCAGTTTGAAAAGTGGCATATTTTGTGTTTTTCTCCTAAGCTAAAAAGTCTTGAGCTACTTGTTTTGTTTACTAAATCATAAATACTTTAATGCTATGTATTATTCTATAGGACCACTTATTTTTCTTTCCTTTTTTTTTTAATTTAAGCGATGATTTATTATCTATATTATATTATAGGCTTTGTATAATATGTTTTGGAAAGAGGTCATTTCTGATTTTGTAATAAACAAATGTTTATTGAGCTGCAGGCGGGGACGGACGCCGGGCGGTGAGGCGAATCTCTAAAGTTGATATTTTTTTTGGGTTAAAATCTCTGAAGTTTTTTTTTTTTTTTTTTTTTTAAATGGATCTCTAAAGTTGATATAAAATATAGTTACGAAATGTTCTAAGTTGAACAATTATAAAGTGAAATAGTATTGTGTAATATATTCAATTTATCTCCGACTAATTTGTAATTCATAGTTGCAAGGGACAATTGAGAAAAAAAATTATCAAAAAGATCTCACCTATAAAAATAGCTAGGCTGCGCTGTTTAAAAATAAGGAAATGGATCATTCTTGTGTTTGAAATTTAGTTTATAAGGTTTACAATTTGATTTTTTTGAGAGTTGATGTTTAGCATTTTGGTTTAGAATATAATTTGTAGGATATTTTGTTAGTTTTGGCATAAATTTGACTTTTTCCAAAGTCTCTTTCAATCTAAAAAAAAATGATGCATTTGTTTTCTGTTAAAAAGTTAGTTTAATATAAAATTTGATTAGTAACCAAAGCTTTAATTAAGCGGTGATATTTTTTGTTGCATTTATAGAGAAGATGATAAGAAATAATTTAATTTGGCTAAATCGTCAATTTATTATTAGTGTCAAAATTTGAAAGTCAAACTAATTAAATTTTTAGCACCTATATATATACATATATAGATATATATGTGTGTGTGGTTGACCGAATATATATAGGTATATATATAATATTCATAATATTTATTATTTCCATCTGCTAATTTATAATTAGTGACAAAATTTAAAAGTCAAACTAATTAAATTTTCCAATATATGTATGTATATAGATATAAAAAGTTTTTATTATTTCCATCTGCTAATCTGATTGGTAACAGAAAATATGATATGCTTCAAACTCACACTAACCAATAAGACTCGTAAAGATGCCTTCACCATTAGGAATGACTATCTTATCGTTCGAATAAAAAAAAATGTCTAACTAACAAAATAACCGGTATTAAATATTCGACTTCAATATGATATAGTTCGTAACCAGTAACCACTTTTTGGGATTACATTTCATTTTCAACGTTTATGAAACAAGAGCAAGATACAGGTGATTAGTCTCGTGTTAATTTTGGATGAGATTTTGGACATGCGTGCCTGTGCGGATATATAATTTTAAAATTTTTTTAAAAATATTTATATATAATACATATATGGGGTTTATTATATTCAAAATATAAAACAAAACTTTATTCTGTATTGATTATCAATATGTTTAGTAACTGAATATATAAAATATCTGATGTATCCATTGGTTCAATGATATTTGATCCATTTGGTCAATTGTTCAAATTATGTATGATACAAATATTTTCATATTTAATGATTTTATTACTTTTAGTTTTTGGTAGAGATTTATTAATCATTATATAATTTATATAAATGTTGAAAAGGTTTATTGTTCATATGATATCAATTTTATGATTATTTAGTTATATAGTGCAGTCAAATATAAATTTATGATTCTCAAATGGACTTATTATTCTGCAGTATCTTATAAGTTTTTAAATTATGTATTAAAACATACTATCATATATAATGGGTTAAAAATGTTTTTACTTAAAAAAATATTTTACATATAAGTCATGTAAATTTGGATCTTAAGAATGAAACCATTAATTATTATTTATATATAATAATTATAACTCTCTAATACAATTTTTCTCTACTTTAGAAAATTATTTTTAAAAACAATAAAATTGAATTCACAAAATAATAATAGATTTTTTCAGTAAAATTGGTCCTTAAATCGTTGGGTCTAGACAAAAAAATTGATGTCTCTATGAATGGGTTTATATGTATAACATATTGTTTGAGCCACTAATTGCTCGTCTTCTGGCCCAAATCCACGAAAAACCAACAATTTTCATTTCTTTCTAACTCTTCGCTTTTTTAAACGGAACTATGTCTGAATCGATTGAGAAACCAAAAACAAACTTAGATCTCCCACAGATCCTGTTCGGACAATCCACTACACTCCGCCATTGCTAAAAATATTGATTCATCAACTTGCACTCCTCAGGAGAGGATGATTATTAAGGAGTCATGACTACAGATTTCGGCGGAAAATTCCGATGATTTATCTAAAACCAAGTAAGTTCTATATCTTTATGATTTTATGTTATTAGGTACAAAATCGTTCGATTCGATGCCATATGTAAAAAGCTCGAGACTTTTAATACTATTTGATTACCAGAACTGATTTGATTC